TTGGTGACCTTGTATAAGAGCAATCCTCATGGTAACAAGATCTGCTTCTAAGAATGATGGAAGTGCTATGCCTATTTTCCTCCTCTTTGTTTGCTTAATTTCTTCTGTGAAATTAAACCACTGGTGTGCAGGAAGTGCTAAAGGAGCAAGTTGTTATAAGATTAGAGATGGATAGATGGGAAAAGTTTTGAGTTGTTGTTAGGTTATCAAAATAGCTTCTATGAGTGCTTTTATTTGCTGAACGATTTGTTGGAAGTCAATTGGAGTTGATGAAGATGGTGAAAGGTCTGTAATTATTTCCCTATCATTTCTATGTTGTTAGCCATTAAGAACGAGTAAAAACAAGAGTAAAAAAACTTGGGATAGAAAACTAAATAAAGTTTTTGTTCAGGTTATCATACACGACACCACTAATGAAATTAATAAAAACTTCAATGAATATTTGGGCTTTTCTTTATTTATAGAAGATTAGACATGTATTTTATGGTTAGGGTTACCCGTAAAAGAAAATGTTCAATGCTTAAGTCAGTTTGAGTTTTTTGTTAAGTTGTTAAGCATGTTAGAAGAGTGAAGAAGATACATTGGATTTTATTTTTGTTGTACCTGTCCCATATACTTTATCTCATTATTATCACTAAGTTTTTATAAAATGGAAAACTCCTTACATTTACCTTTCCTAATGAGAGAAGGATAAAGGTCAATCGCAATGAGATATAACTATTTTTAGCCTTCAAAAGATTTTTTTGGAATAATAATAGATAATTTTTATTAGTTTAAGGGATGATATTGATAAGTCATATAGGTTGTCCAATAAAATCACTTGAATTTATTGAATTGTGTGATGAATTATGTGATGAAGTAATAAAAACAATTTTATAGGATTGTGTGAAAATATTCATACAAATACAAAAAAAATATGTGAAAAATATATAAAAAGGGCTTTAGAAAACCCTAACATGGCCAACTCACTAGGTTGACCCAAACAAGCAGCTCATAGGACCTCGTTTTTTATTTTTTTTCCAGCAATACTATCTAATTAATTATTTCAGGAAAATAGATTCCTAGTCTAGTAGATTCAAAACTTTTTAATTGTAATATAATGGATAATTTTTGTTATTATCATATACTTGAATGCCTTTTAGAGATTCTTTAAATCTAAAAGAATAAAATAGAAATTATCTAATCATTTGTGTTGTAGCTCTAGTTTTAATTGGAAATGCTATTTTGTTAGAAACCTGCTCCAACTTGTAAAGGAAAAAGGAAGAAGAAAGAAAAAAGAAAGAAAAGATGATGAAGAAAAAATGGACAATAAATATTTTTGAATTGTGCAAACATAAAAGAATTCTTGCATAACAATGTGTCTAGCATTACCATATGCAATAATTGCTATAATAATGAACCATATTTCAAGTAATGGTATGTGTTTTACTATTTTTTTAAATTAATATAGGTGTCTAGATTAGTTTGTGTGTACCTTGACCAATCTTAAGGATTCTAAAGTTAATGACTATATAATTATTTAATGATTCTAAGATTTATAGGACTCGAACTGGTGACCTCTAAAAACTAAATCTAGAACCTAACTAGTTGAGTTATATCTTTCAAAGTTTAATATGTATTTTTCTTGAGATGAAATTTGATTTTAAAGCTTTTCTCAAGCACAAATGCTACCATGTCAGATCCAAAGACTCCATAACATTCTGTCACGATAATCCTTATCTAAATAAGGTAACGCGAATCCAATTCAAATTGTATTTTAAATATCAAATATGATAAAGGCGATAAAAATTAGGTAAGAAACAAGATCCCATCACTTCTAGAATTGTCACCTCTACCACTGTGGAAGCTATGGCCACATGTAACACAAAGGGTTGTCTCATAGTAACTCATAAGACACAGACCAAACAACAAAGCACCTAGCTGATTAACCAAATAGCAAGACATGCAAAACCCACATGAAAAGAGATGAGGTAATATCACCAGGTGGCCTCAAAACCCGGCTAGATGATAGTGTCAAAAAATGCCTTTACTCTAAGCAAAGTCACAAAAAGAAGGTATTTTTCCAAGTTAAAATGGAGATTATTGACAGAGCATTCGGCGGGAGTATGTTCCCATCTTCACAGTAAAAGCTAGCTAACGATGGAAATATTTAAATTCCAGGCCATTTTTCGTTCCTGGTCAAACTATGTTTAAAGTAACATTTGTTGTCAGTGAAACGAATCATTACTCATGTTCACTCAGCTTGCATTTTTTTATTATTAGTTCATGATCACAACTCACATGACATCTTTTGTATTTTATTTGGAGGGATCCTCTCTCTCTCTCTCTCTTCCCTCTCTAGCCAGAAACCATGGCTGTCATTATTTAGATTTTTATTAAATTAAATGGTGTATGTTCGTGTATGATGATAAAGGTGCATGGACCCTCGTAGGTTCGTTATGCTCATGCTGTGCCATCCGATTGACAGACTCTTGCAGTGTTACAGGACATAGTCAAAATTTGTGAACTCGTTGCCATAGGTTTATGTTGCCCCAGGCTTGAAAAAATGGATCCATTTACCCACTACCTTTTATAAACTTGCCCTTTTATATGCCGATTGTTAATACCTTGTGGCCATAAAATACATCACTATAATTTTAGGTTAAAATTTGTATATGTATATATATATGCACTGTACTGTTTATCTGGTTCTCAATTATGCCTTTCTACTACTGATCATGACAGAATCTTCTACAAAAATGGAAAGGAGACCCCATTTACATTATTTTTCGTGGGTTGCAGTTTAATTAATTAAAGCAATTATATAAAAATAATTTTCCCCATTACTTATACATGTAACGGGAAAAATGAATTTAAATCTTAGCATCTAAATCTTGTTTGATAATCACAAGATAACATTCTTAACAATAAATAAATAAAATCAAAAAAAGCAAATTACTAGGTCTATTCTAAACAAACCCTAAAATTCCAATACACAAGAGAAGAGTTAGCACCTTTAATAATACATTCTAATTTATGGGAAAAAAGAAGAAGAAGAAATGTTGATCTTTTGATTTAAGTTGAGAATTATTTTTCAAATGCACATAATTTGCAGCGCCTCATTGTTTAGCTTGAAAGGCCCATCCATGCATATATCTAATGCATATAACTAGTGGCAAAAAAAAAAATCAATTAAATTAAGAAAATTGTAAAAAATAAAATGAAAAAAAAACCAATTAAAAAGTTTTAAAAAAATTAGTTCATTTTAATTTGGTTTTATAAAACTGAAATTAAAATAACCAGACCAAATTAATTAAAACAAAACTAAAAAAACCATAAATATTGTAAATTAAAAAAAATTGCTTTCTAACTCTAGGTCTCTAGCAAGTCAGTCATCGCCACCCCTCTCACCCAAAAAAAAAAAATATATACAAATACCTAACCTTTAATCGGATCCAAATGACAATTAAAGTGACAGTGGCTCTTAAAGATAAACAACTGTTAATTATATTAAAAAATATAGTTATAGTTATTTTTTAAAGTAATTTTTATTAAAAAATATATTAAAATATTTTTTTTATTTTTTAAAAATTATTTTTGATATTAATATATCAAAATAATTTAAAAATATTAAAAAAATTAATTAAAAAAATTATTTTTTAAATATTTTTAAAACACAAAAACATTAATTGATATAACACCGCCAACACCACCGCTTCTTTCTCATCCTATCATCAACAAAATTGAATCCTCCAGTAGCGCAACCATCACCTGCTTTTCCAACCCGTGACAACACCACCAACACAAACCCATTTCCATCTCCACCGACGTTGAGATACACCACACACCAACTTCCATCTCAACCGACAATTATAACTCCAGCCGAAGCCTCATCCAATGCCTTCCCCAATCAACGCTGCTCCTCAAACAAACCACAACTCAGCCAAACCTCTATGCCTTGAGCCACTAACAGAGGCTATGAAGAAGAGAAAAAAAAAAACCGAGATTGTTACAACAAAAAATAAAATCGATTGTTTTGTGTGGATTTCTCTTGTTTGTAGGTAATTAGATACAACACTACCAGCACAAGAAGAGAAAAAAGAAGTAAATTCTGATCCATGAGATTTTTTTTCCATCGGCGATGACGCGCCACCACTATTCCCTCACATCCAGTGCATTCCAACATCTTCTCCCACTTTTCAGACCATTTACAAGGCTTTCAAAAGCCCATTAGAAGTCACAAAAAGCCCAAAAACTCTATACATAGATTTTTCTAGTTTTTGACATAAATTAACCAAAACCAAAACATTAATCGGTTAGAATCCATTTCAAATCAGTTTCAGTTTTAATTTTTTTAAAAATAACTCGGTTATTTTTTAAAATAAAAACCAAACAAAAAATAATCACCCTTCTATATACCTTATTTGTCATTTATTATTATTTCTTTTTTTGTAAGACATGTATTTACCCATCCTTGGTTCTACAATTACCGCCAGGCCGAGGGAATAAAGGAAGCTCTCATAGTCGTTGTCTACTTGGGCAAAATTAACAACTGCAATAAGACAGGCTGTAACCCGCTGTTATTAAATAAGTTGCTTGTAAACAATGTGATCTGAGAATGGTCAAAGATTAAGGGCTAGTGCACGTGCCCTCTCTCAATTACAGACAAATAGCTCGGTTGCCGGGGCAGGGCTGCAGGCTGTTGTATTGTTAGCGCACGTGATTTCGAAAAACCCTATCGGTTCACACGTGCGGCCTTCCAGAAACGCGTTCTGCCTGTCCCAGCAGAAACAAATGGGTTAGTGTTCTCAGGACCCACCTACCTCTTCCACGTTACTCGTGTTTAATTTTCTGTGCAATGGAAGCTTTCTCATACAAACACACTGACAGCTCACAAAGCTGGGACTTGAGCACGAGACTGCATCCTTTGCCCTTCATTGGGTACGATAGAATGGAAGATTACTGGACCGTTGGCAATGTCACCGTACCAAGGAGATTAAACGGGCTCTACATAACTATAATATGCTATATAACAGCAGGACTCTACCTTCATTTCATATAAACAAACGGAAGCACATTCCATGGACACACCTTATACAAAGTGTGCTACTTTTCCAAATACTGCCAAGGCCGCATGACCATTAGCAAAACATATAAAGATATCAGGCATTAACAGTAGATTTATAGTAATCATCGTTGATTGTTGTATAAACGAGGCCATTGTCAACCAGCATCTGTAGTTCTTCCCTGTCAAAGAGCAAGGAAGGGGATGTCAGCAAATTCCTCTCTGAAAGCTTACACATAAGGGAGGGAGCGGGAGAAAGAGACTTGAGCTTATTCACTGGAATGTTTAGCTGACGGGCAATGACATCATAGTGAGCTCCCTCGGTGTTCCTAGAGAATTGAAGATCACGACGGGTCAAAGTTCCCAAAATACATATAATGAGCATGCAGCAAATACATGAATAACAATAAAGGTTGACTACTGGATAAACTTTAGAGTGCCGAATCAAAGTACACAGAGTCTAAGATCTCATCAAGGACCAAATGTTGTTGACATCCAGAAAAGGATGCATGTCTGCATACAGACATGTTCAAGTATAATTTGCACCTATTACACAAACACAAGAACTTGCCTGCACATTTGTGCAGACAAGAGTGCAGAATATTGTCTTTGGATGAACTAACTATTCATCTTTTATAAATCAACCACAAAACGAATCATCTTATTTAAACTTCTATGTTTTATTAATAGTGGGTTAAACAGAACATTGAGAAAATCATGTTCCACTGCACGTTATTACAATGCCCTAAGTAAGCATTGGAGAGCTCATATATAATCTGTAATTACATGTAATTAATCAAGTAAATGGTATTGTGGATGCAGAGCATATTGATAAGCATACTAATTTCTGTTCTCTATCCAGTCATCTTTTGACCACCTTATACAAGCTGGTTCACGGGAATGGCATGTTCTATGTTTTTTTATTTGCTTCTTGCAAATTGTAGCTAGAGTTAATATTTGCAAGCAGTGGTGCGTTACAGGAAACAGGGGTAAACAAAGGAGTTTTAGTAGCTGCTGAAAGTTGCCAAAAGGCTATAGCTATTCTCCCCTTATAAATTATCATGGACCCTATTGTAGATATGACCAGCTGACCACTTGCCTATAGATTTTCCTGGTCGCAAGTTCAAGTGTTCAATTAAAGATTTCAAAAAAATAAATAAATAAATAACTAGGGAACACATCCAAATTATTATATGATGTGCTAGGTTAAACTGAATACGCAACAGCAGATAGAAGAAGATATATAAAAAAAGAGCTTAATGAGAGGTCAACACTATGAAGACAAGAAAATTCATTGCAGAGTTGAGTAGTGCCATGTTTAATGAAAAAAAAGACATGAATTCCCAGCACCATTGGATGTGGCCCTGACACCCATCTGTGGGTCACATGTATCCAATGGTTTGTGTTATATTTCATCTAGCAACATTCATTAAAATAAAAGTTTCACTTCAGAATTTCAGGGTATCAAATGTAACTTACAGATATGCAGGTTGCTGCAAGAAATTTAATATAATCTGACTAACATTGTTCAGTCCATCAGCACTGGAATACTCAGAAGACTGAAAGAAGAAAATTTGAGCACCAATAAAAAGATCACTCAACAAGTCAGCCAAACAATATTCTCAGGATGAGATTGATTACTTGATATGGAGGGGCAGTTTGATATCCCTTTAAAGGGATACTTGTTGAATTTGCTACTGGGGGCTGAGAAGTGACACCCTGAATTTAGTGGTATGAGGTCATATCCAGTGAGAAAATGTGGTGCACAATCAAAGCTACTGTATCATATCAATTACAAAACCATACTGAAAAAAACTAGAGCATTATTGCAATAAATAGACCAATACCTGTAACCTGGTATTGTAGAAGTGGACATATATGCACTCAATGAAATGGCCTGGAATCTCATTAAAGTCAGTAACAGGCCTGAAAACCACACAAAAAGTCTGAAGTTAAAGACTCTACAAGAGAATAGTCACGTTAATAGTCAGAAAAATAACACAAAATGCTGGAGGTTTTATTCAGACAAATAATTCAACTAGGAAACAGGACAAACAATTGTAACCATGATAGCTTTCTTTTGTCAGAAGAGGCAGTTTTTCATTAATTAGATACATGAAATTAAGCTATGAAAAAGGAAGTCCAAAAAGGGAATCTCTTGTCAATGGATATTAATACTAACAAACAAAAGAATGCCACTTCGATATTTAGAAGTGAAAATGTAATAATTTTACTTTGATTTTTAAAAGGTGAAACATTGAGGGAAAGTTCTGAGGGCCAAAAGAATAGTGTTGAAGTGGTACTGTGCAACGATCAGTTTGTCATCTTTTGCCTAGACTCCAAATTCAAAACCAGCAATCACAGTCAGCCACTAGAGAATTAAAATGGAAACACCATTTCTGACAGCAAACTACAGAGAATACCATGCTAAGAATATTTAAAGCCCATGCATTCAGACCAGAAATGCAAAATTGCTCAATCAAGACAACTAACCACACAGCTTAAGATGGGTTGAGTTCGCCAATAACAGAGTTGCTACTCAATTAGTATTCAGTATAATTGCAATAAAAATGAAAATAAACCCTCTCAAGTACATATATTTGTTAGGATCTCTCAAGTAAAGGAAGAGTACACAGATGGATGGGGAAAAGTCATGCATTCAAGTTAGCCTAGGCACTCTAGACAAAGCGAGTCCACAACACCTTTATTAGCCTCATGCAATGAATTTCAATGAAGCACCTCATGAGTTGGCATTAAAGCAAGTGCCTAGTTGAAATACTTCTTTTTCTGTTGGATTTTTTTTACTGATTTATGTTTAGACCTATTTGTCCATTTTTTAATTTACCACAAGAAACAACTTAGGGTATTTTTGTAAAAACCAAAGATTGGGGTTAAAAAATAATAATTAAAGTGGGAGACATGCAGTCATGTCAAGGAAGGATGCTTGAAGAGAAACACCAACCAAACTTTGCATTGAACAGAGTCAGAAAACAACAACACAAGTACATAACAAGAAAGCATGGATGAAGATGTTTTTGAAGATTAATGAATAAAAATGATGATATTTAAGTATGCTTTTTAATCTATTTGGCTACTTACTACTTTAAATTATCTTATTTTGTTTTATGAGAGAAAAATATAGCTTTATATGACCACGTTATGGTATATTATTTTTTATTTTTATTTTCTAATGATCTAATATTAATTGGGGAGATATAAATTTTAGATTTATATAATATAATATTATACACTTTTTTTAATCTATAGCATATCGCCTTGGTTCATTTGAGCAAGCACCTAGGGCATTTTACAGGCTTGGCGCCTTTATCACCTTTTGCCTTTAACAACACTTTATTCAACACAACAGACAGCATTGTTTTATCCAGAAGCACTGCAACTCTCTTACAAGAAACAAATGCTGCAACTGAAGATTTGAGAATAAGTAACATTAACAAATTGACTTCTCTCATACAGTTCCTGATTCAGATATACACATACTGCTAACAGACGCAAGAAAATAATAGTGAAGTCAAGTCAATTTAAAATTTGTTGTTTTCTGCTTGCCATAACATGCAATGCATGAAAATAGCTTGTATTTGTAAAAATGAATGACTGCAGATCCATAAAAAGGAGCAAGGCTGGCAAAAGGGGTGAAATATGCACAAGATCAAACTTGTACAAAGAGACTCGGATGCTGGTTCCAAAATTGTACAAAAATAAATCATCTTTACTCCATGTTTGGCACCAAAAAAATATGATTAGTCAATGAGTAACTGGTTGCCTACAAATTTCTTTGAATAAGATTGAAGGGTAATCCATTAGATAAAAATATCAGAAGATCTATAAGTAAGACAATATGGGTATTATCTTCAAAGAAATGCAAACGTAAAACAGTTTGCTTAAAATACTATTGCTCTTCTGTGCATTCAATATAACAAGAACACAACATTTTAGTGCAAATTTAAGTCAACACATCCCTTAGAATGACCCACCTTAGTCCTAATAAATCAGAAGGATAGTTCCAAACTATCGTTAAAAGAATCAAATTGCAGCTTCTCCTATTTTTTCCAAAGCAACTTCCCTGAGGTTAGGAAAGAACTTTTCCCTGGTAATAAAACTTTGAAATAAAACTTAAGTAGCATCCTTATAGGGATAGTCTGGAAAAACTTATGTAATGACTTGAGAATTATTACATAAAGTAAGTTGTGCAGTTAAAAAAGAAATAAAGGTAACTAAAAAAATTTAAATTGCAAGTTAACCAGACACCTCAATAGTAATTAGAACATATAGGATTTCAAAAGATGACTGACAAAGAAATAAAATAATCAAACAGCATGTAGCCAATTTATGGGCCTATACCTTATCCAACAACAACCTAATAACTATAGATTAACAGGCATTCTGTGCTGGGTTGCAGGTCTACCTTGTCCGTATTCATGAAAAAATAAACAGATGAAAGAAAAGGAAATACAAATACATACCTAATGGAGAAGATATTCAAGAACCTTCTGCCTTGCAGCCCTCTCAAGTGTCCATGAACACGAACATACATGCCAACTCTACAGTAAAGGTAATTAAAACAGTATCAAACATATTAACTTAAATGTAAAAAGATGAGGTCACTTGAAAATCTATTTAGGTGTTAAACAATTAGTTCAGGAATAATCTTTCATGCTCATCTTGGCTGCTGAGGTTGAAGGAAATCGAAATGAAACTTGGCATCCTACACCAGCAATTTCCATTCCAAGCCAACATGCAAAAAATTCTCAGCTTCCATTTATTTTCCTCACACAACCTCAACAGCCCAACATGCACACAATCTTTTCAGTGAAAAACATGACGTGGTGGAAAATTATACTTGACAAAGAAAATTAATTAATCAATTAAGCTATAAGCAACAAGAATTTTAAGAAAGGGCAAGTAGGCATAGTCTGAGTGTGGTACAAAACATACAAGATTTCCCCCATTTGTTCTGTATCTAAGCTTTCTTGAACCCTGTACAACATGAAAAAAAAATTGCATTATAGCCACAATATTACTAATTTAAACATTAAACACAACTTAATCAAATGGAACTCTAAATAACCCCACAGTGCAATTCGCCGACATGGAATTTTTTTATTAAAAAAACCAACAAAATTGAAAGGAAATTCACCATTTGGTACATTCAATCTGTCCAGTTCCATCATCAACTAAAAAAGTGTACTCGCTGGCCTTGTCTTCCTTGTGGGATACCCTCCCCACAATTGTAACCTAAACAATTTTTTTTATAGAAAAACCTCATAATCCATTTTTTTTATAAAAAAAAAAAGAACGACAGAAAGAAAGAAAGAGAACCCAAGTCCTACTAGTGTGATAAAAACAAAACATTACATTGTTAACTTCAGCACCATCAATGATGAAATTAGATTCATCATTACTTGCTAGGTTGCTTATCTGCTTCACAGTCAGGGGAAACAAGCCCCGCGCCTCCCGATTCTGTCATTAAAAAAAAAATATACAAATAAAACCCTAATAATCTTCTTATGCTACCAAGAACTACAAGGTATGGCTAATTTTCCTAGTTTCAGGAAAAGCATAAACCAAAACCCTGATCTACCGTTCATTTAAACAACAAAATTAGGAAATTTTCAATTTATTTGATGATCAAAGTACAACTGAGTAAAAAGATAAGAGAAATGAAAAGGTACTTTGGAGATGGAGGAGGAATCAGAAGGAGGGTGCGCGGTTTGAGTAGGCATGAATCCGCCGCCCATGAAGGCTGCGGCGCTTCCATCGAATTGGCTGCTCCCATACATTTTTATGTCTCTCTGTCACAGCCTCTGCTGTTGCGTTTTCTGTTTATATCATAAATTTTCGATGTTAGCTTCTCAAAGAAGCCTGTGGTCATTTATATACAACTTGACATGGGTGCCACTTTCTCATCCTTCCCGCCATCTTTTCTTTTTCCTTTTTTTTTTAAGCGCCGGTTTAGGATTATAGCGCAAAGAGAATGATCGAAATTAAAAAAAAATTTAATAATTTTTTTTTATATTTTATAATTTTTTGATATATTAGTTATTAGAAATATTATTCTAATATATTTTTAAATAAAAAATATTTTAAAAATAATTATTATTATATTTCCAAACAATTTTAACAGATTTTACAGCCAATAGTTATCTTCAAATACTTGTTAAAATAATAACAAAAACAAATCATTGGCTAAACCAATCATAAGGTGTCTAGATAAACAATTCTTTTTTTTTATTCGATGAGACTTTATAATAACAAGTTTTTTTTAATTTTTTATTTAAATTTATATAAAATTATTTATATTTAATAAAATCAATGATTTTCCATCGTAGACTAGCATTGAGTTTTGATGTAAATTTATCCAAGCAAGTTTAGTAATTATTAGTATATTAGTCTGCATTTCACAGTGAATTAATAATAATATTTTAAAAATATAAAAAATATTTTAAATATATTATGTATAACGAGCATGATAAACACATAAGTTTTGAGTCTCATAGCATGCTAGATCCAAGATAAGTTTTGAGTCTCATAGCATGCTAGATCCAAGAGACTTGAGCCTAGCGACCATGTAAAGTCTAAGATACTTGAATTTGACAGCAATACTAAACACAAGACATTAAAACCGGTAACAATACTAAACATAAGATACTTTTAAATCTGGTAGTCAAGACTCAAGCTACTTTGGTTTAACAACAAATATTTAAATTATTCTTTAATTATTCTAAAGAAATCTTAATTAATTTTTTTATTTGTTATAAAAAATTTAACCTCCCTTTCAAATATCTTAAACCAAAATGCTAATTAATTTTTTTACAATTTTTTTATTTTTTATAAAAAAATTAAACTATTTTTAAAATATCTTAAACAGAAATACTAATTAATTTTTTTATATTTTTTATTTTTATAAAAAAATTAAATTACCCTTAATGTATCCTAAATAATTTTTTGTATAAAGTTTTTCTATCTTTATAAAGAAAAAAAATTAAACAACCCTTGAAGTATCATAATTTGAAATCCTAATTAATTTGTTTATAAATTTTTTTATTTTTATAAAAAAAATATTTAAATTATACTTGAAATATTTTAAATAGAAATTATAATTAATATTTTTTAAAAAATTATTTTTTATGTGCTATTAGATTTGGAGGTCATGCGAGACCTAAAAGCATTGAGTCTAGTGTATTTATCAAATCCAAGGTGTTTGGATCTAGCAATTTTTATTTGACCATATCAAATAATAAATAAATAGAGAATAATTATGTATTTTAATTGTTAGAAGAAAAAGAGAAAAAAAAATATAAACAATAAAAAGAATCTATAAAAAAATATAATAAGAAATTAAATATAAAACTATTATTATAATTTATAGTAAAATATCTCTTGATTTATAATAATTTCTTCGTAATATTTAACTTAGTTTTCTTGGGAGCTCCCATCTCTATCTTCTAGCACTATTACAATCCGCAAGTGGATTATCTCTGGCTGCACAGTAAAGCCAACAACAACAGTTTTAGTTTTCTTGGTAATAATATTTATTGGTAAGGTGATATTCAACGTAAATAAAACAAAACAAAACGAGAAAGAAATCGTGCTCACCTATCATGAACGCTAGGTTCGGTAATGTTAAAGCTCGGACTCACCAATAAATATATTTATTTTAATTATGTAAGGAAAAGTATATTACAATTTATATATATATATAGCCAAAAAAAATGGAAGATTCATTGTGCAAAATTGCATTGCATTGTAGATCCTCTCTTAAAATACTATGGACTCATTGTTTAAAGTTTTTTTCATCCTTTGCGCTATTTCAGGATTAAATTGAGGGCCAATTTAAGTGAAATAATCAAAGGACAACAAAACCAAAAAAAATAATCAAAGTGCAAAAAGTAAAAATAAATAAATGGTGATTTTAAAATTTATGAAAAAAGTTATTTTGGATCCTTTTTTATGAAATACATTAGGTTTATTAATCAATTATTTTATTCATTAAAAACATAGCTTAACACAGAGAAGAATATAAAAACAAATTCATAAAAATTAGAAAACTTACGGACAAAACTAGAACTAAAATCAAAATCAAGCAAATAAACCTAAATAAATAAGTTAAAACAAGGCAACCAAGTCATTTTTTCTAAGAACTTCTTGATTGGCCAAATAATTTACAACAAGATTCTTCTTTTTAGGAACATGATCAAAACACATATAATAAAGCCTATTGCATGTATAGAAAATATTATTGAATTTAGTTTCCAAGCACAAAAGTCATGTTGCATTATTTTTTTTAATCTAAGTAATGGCAATGTAAGAATCTCACTCTACAATCTATTAATTTGTAGAAACATAGCAATAATCAATACTAAAAAATATAGCTTTTTAAATTATTAAGACTTTCATTCGATTTCATATTTTTCAGTGAAACAAGAAAAAATACAAAGAAATCCCCCTTCATAATCTATAAAAATCTCATTAATTTATGAAAGGCTTGGTTTGTCATTTGAATAAGTGTTTACATTCCATTTTAGTATACCTATAACAGGGGTATTTAAGAAGAATCACTTTTAATACTTATTATATTAGTCCATATAAAAAGACTATTTAGTGAACAAAGTAAATCTAATCTAGTATAACATAAATTCCTATAATTATGTGTTTTTAAAATTGAAACCAGATGAAAAAGGAATAATACACATTATCCTAGTCTTTTTTTTTCTCATTAAAAATAAATAATTGCAAGCATTTTAAAGTGCTAAATTATACTAAAAAAGAACAAACACTACACCAATTTATTTTATTTTTTGCATAGATCCCTGTACCATAGCATTCCATATTAAAACAAAATCATCTAGAAATTGAGGTAAGATCAACTATCATCCCACCAATTTACAACTTGCGATTATATCTTCTAAATCATCTCACAATAAAGTAAAATATGAGTTGCAGTTTCAATCTTTTCTTTTATAAAAGGACAATTTATATCGTTACTTAGTAGTATATCTCTTTGATATTGAGAGTCTTTTGTGGACAATTTCTCCAAAATAAAAAGTTATAAATAAAACTTTACTTTCATGTGAGCATCAAAGTGTCATATACTTGATCAAAAAAGTCCTTATCATGTTAAAAGACATGACTCAATAAAAGAAGTCCAATTCTTAATCAAAAGCAATACCTTCTGGATTTGGTCTATAGACATCCATATCAATAATATTTTGGTATAAAAAAACCCTTGATAACTCTCTTCCTTTATCTTTTCCTAATCCCAAAGTTTTCTCCTTCAAGGTAAAGACTATTTCCAACTGGAGTCATTTTATGATCTCATTTTTGAAATCTTAGGACTTAGAAAATGAATTTTAGCATTATTTAGAAAACCAAGCAACAAACCACATCCAACAAAAAAAAAATTGCATAACAATCCACTAAATCAAGAAACAAGTTAGCTCTCTAAAATGTCTTGTCAAATTTATTTGGTAAAGAAATTTATAATTACAAATCTCAGCATCATACTTGAAAGTTTTGACTTCATGATGGAGAAAATGATGAGTTAAATGATCTTTTCATTCTATAGTTGGAATGGCAATCATCAGTTGAACACCTAAATGACCTTTACAAATCATAAAAATAACAAAAACATTACAAGCAATGATTTCTCATATCACTGAAAATAATCTCAATAAACAAAAAAAAGGTTTTTCTTAAAACCCCAAATTCAACAGGCATATGATTGATGCTTACTTGATGGAGCTTTTTAAGAGGTTTCCTAGCCTGATACCAGTCAATTCAAGCCAAAAATTGAAGCCTCTTGCATTTTTTAGTACTACGGTCATACATTAACTTCTAGTTGTTTTTCTATAGAGGGTATTAATTAAAAAAAATAGAAAATAATAAATTAAAAATGTTAGACGCTATTGGACTAGGTCCATGTGCATGACCTTAAAACAAAACTTTGTTATGCTGATGCTTTTTTTTTCTAAGAAGATAATTTTTTTTCTTTTTAAATTAAGTGAGAAGTCACCTATTGAGTAGCTTAGAATTCAGTCACTATTGTGGTGGCTATAAAATCAAGAGGGTTTGCCCTAAAATGTGTTTTTTAACCAATTTTCACCATAAAACCCTAAAACACCTAAAATTCACTCAAAAAATTAAAAAATAAAAATCAAACCATGTTTTCCTTCCTTCTCAAGAAAAATCCACCTCTAATGAACCTATCTCAAAAAGAGAAACCTATAGACACCAAAGGTTTTCCTTTTTAGTGGTTGGATTGTGGCCAAAAGACCATTCTCTCCTATAGGTTTTCAAATGAGTTCCCTCTCCTCTCTTTTGTTGAGTAACTACAAAATGAATAAAATAAACTCTTGAACCAAAATAAAAATTATTGTGAAGTTGATATTAACCATGTATTTTCTTTTTCTTTTATATTTTATCCCTTTGTCTTTTAATTTGGTATTCCTACTATAATTTCAAATTAATCTCATTTAAATATGTCATTAAAGGAATCAAATGAAATAAAAAAGAAGTTGGAGATGGAATTTGAAAAAGAATATGAAAGGAAAAAAAAAAAGGGTAGTTACTTCATTGTTTATATGAAAAGTGAAGTAATTAGGAAAACCCTAGTTTTTATAGTATGTTTTGGTAATTTATGTTCTCTTTTTTATATATATTAAAAATTTAGATATCAAATATATAATTAGATTTTTATTTTTTTAAGGCATGAAAAGATCATTTAACAAATATAAGTCTAAAATATTAGTTAGTAAATCCTAATGAAAAAAAAACCTTTTTAGTTCAGCTAAATAATTGAATCTTTAGCTTCTTGTATTTTTTCTTTGGCATAATACATTGTGCAATTCTCTTCTCTTCTCTTCTTAATATCATATTGTGAAATCACCATCT